GAGTTGTATGTTAGAGAATGTTAATGACTAATATAACTTTACATACAAAAGTAATTTATGGCAGACTAAATATCACACTGAATGAAACATATACTGTGTACTGCGGGCGTGTCTAGACCCAAAAGGCTGGCTTTGAATGTACAGCTGCTGCATAAAAGCTAAGCTAGCAAGTTAGCCATTAAGCTAGCTGCAACAGCAGCATGACACCGGGATAAATGAGGACTGTCTAATTTTCATGCCAAAAAATGTGCTAATTTTCATATTTGTTTCATATTGTAAGTTTTAAATTGTCTTATTAAATTTAATTTACTTTACTTGGCCATGACGTCCAAGATGGTGACCAGCTGCCAAATGTTGTTTTCGGATTGTTTTATTTACTATTTAACTGTAACAAATTATAAATTGCCTTATTACAGAATAATATATACAGTACATCTTAAATAAGAGTTGTCGTTGCTGCTTATTGTAGAAAAATGACTCTTGTGATTCTGATTGCCGAAAGGGCCTATTCACACAAATCTGAAAAGAAAAAAAACCCACATGGTATCTGGTCCTGCAGATACTTCCGTTTTAACGTGCAGATCTTTTTAAAAAAAAATTTTTTATAGGTCGCTGCTTGCTCACAATTTTTAATAAATACAACTAAAACGTATCAAAGAGTTGTTTATATATGCTTTATATATATGCTTTTTATATATATATATATATATATGTGTGTGTGTTTATTTGTATATGTCTGGGTTACACTGAATAATTCAGAATAATAGTACAGATTGTTAGAATATAGTAACGTGAATACATTTAAATGTATTTATTTTTTGATATATCAATTAGTCATTGAGTTTATAAAATTAATCAAATAATCAAAAATAGTCAAAACAATTTCCAAGTCTCCCCATTTAAGAAATGGCTTTGGCCCTCACTCAATTAACAGGCTTATTGATGATTTCAGGACTTCACACAAATTGACATAAATGTTTGTCTCATCCATAAGCATGTCATTTAGGAGTGATATTTTGTTCTTGGTTGATTGGTGTTACTGTTTTCTAGAACGGACAGTCATGGCAGAAAATCAAGAAGAGATGTCCCCTGTTGAAATGAAAGTGGCACGACAAGTCGAGGTAATTCTGATGTCAACTTTTTTTGTTTATAGTTTGCAAAAGTTTGTAACATGCATCTCATAGAGATGTGTCTCTTTGTTACCTCTAGTACTACTTTGGAGACCACAATCTTCCGAGGGACAAGTTTCTCAAAGAACAACTGCAGCATGATGATGGCTGGGTGACTTTGGAGACTATGCTTAAATTCAACAGGTTTGTTATTCCTGTCTTTATTGAATTCTTTGTTAAACTGCTGTAAAACAATTACTACTCATATTTTAGTGTTATTTCAGTCACTCAATAATATGTATCCTTTGCATGAGCTCAACATTATTCAGAATTTGTCACCCACACGAGGCACCTCCATACAATACAAAACCAAGTATTATTAGGGTTACTTCATTGTTAACAGTCTGCTGTGTTGTCTGCTTGGTATGGTTCCTGAAATTTGGGCCCAGTAATCAATGCATTCCAGGAAATTGAGTTTCAGCAAAAACTGTTTTAGTGCCTGTGTCCTCTACAGGTTGTTTTCTTTTTTTTCTTTTTTTTTGTGGCATGCACAAGAGCATCTAAAAATGAGGCAGAGTAGACTGTCAAATAACAAGAGCTGGCTCTATCTGTCCCTGAAGGTAATGTTAGTGTTTACCTTGAGTCATTCTGCTGTTGGCTCTTTGCTATTGTCACCTTTTGTCTTTTGCTATTGTCACCAGCTAAAAGCAGTGGCCCACAAAAAATGGTCACATGAAGAATTTTTCAGTCAGCTGGCAGGAGGTGACTGAGCAAGAAAAGAGAGACAGCAATGACTAATCAGTTTGTGGACCTGGTGTGTGACTCATGACAGACAGGGCAAGACTAGTGTAAGCCCTCACCCTGTCCCTAAAATGAACTTGTTACCAGCCAGGTCACATTTAGCCACAGCATTGGACTCAGACATCTTCCTATTAACAGCTCAGCACAACTGGCTGCATATTTTGAATGTGCTGTAGTCAGAAGTCGGTGTGAGTCAGCACACTTCTTATCAAGCCTAATTCTTTGAAGAGCAGTGAAGCAGTAATTCAGTAGCCTGCCGTGTCCCTAGCTTATGTACTGTGTCACTGCAGTGAGTGTTCATGTAGCTCCTTAGTATTTATACATGCTCTTACAGCCGGACTGTTCTTGAATTATATCTTTTCTTCCTTTTCAGAGTGTTTGATACATGTTATTTCTCTTCCCAGACTGAGGTCTTTAACCACAGAGAGCAGTGTCATTGTTGCAGCTCTTGAGAAATCAAAGACTGGCCTCTTGGAAATCAGTGAAGACAAGACAAAAATCAGGAGGTCTCCAAACAAACCCTTACCCGAGCTGAATGATGATTACAAAGACGCTCTTAAACACAAATCTGTGTACATTGTAAGTTTTTGAACTACTCTCATGCACACTGATTTAGAATTCTGATAAAGAAAATTGTCTTTGCAGTTAGATCATGTCGTTTATATTTTATGTATTAAGTATTATGTTAATTATTTGTGTGTGTGTGTATGTATATATATATATATAGTTTTGTTTTCTAAGCATACATCTGCACCTCATGAAACTATTTGCTGTAAATTTACAAAAATGCTTTTTTTTATGTTACGTTCCTTCATTTTTGTAATGTATTGATATGAAGGTTTCCATTTTTATATTGCATGCCTTCCTCTTTCATGTCATATTTGATTTCACCCAGGTATACTGCTGTATTCCTTACAGTCTAATACTTTCAAACTTTACACTTTGTTATTTGCTGCTGCTGCTGCTCTGTCAGGGATTTGTATAATGTTTTTTAAATCTTTTTCTCATTCAGAAAGGTTTTCCTCTTGAAACTACCCTTGATGAGATTCAGGAGTGGTTGAATGGGAAAGGCACCATAGAAAATGTTCAAATGAGGAGAAACCTGCAAAGACAGTTCAAGGTACAATTTGTGTATTTGGCATCATTGAAATTAGAGTTTTTCCTGTGTTTTGGGAAAGATTTTTTATTTGTTCTGTCTTGACAGGGATCGGTGTTCATCTGTTTTGACACAGAAGAGTCATCCAAGCAGTTCCTAGAACGTTCAGACATAAAATCATTCAAAAACAACGAGATGCTCGTGTTATCAAGGTAGGTTGTGCTGTTAACAAATGCTGTGCCGTGATTGCACTGCTACCAATGTGCATTCAAGCTGATCGCAACTATGTTTAACAGCACCTTTTTAAAAACTACTGGGGAGGTCTTTGATACAGAAAAATTGTGTACTATATCTTTAAAATTACTCTAAACTAATACTACCAGAAAATTTGCCGTCGCCTTTAGTCACCAGACTATATGACAATCTTTGGTTAAATCTCAAATATGTGCATACAGGTACAAAGCATAAAAGACGACCCAAGAATATTTGAAAACTGGAAGAATAGACTAGACAGACTGTTGGCTGTCTACAAGAAACATCTTAAGTATATGGTATCCGCCTAATTTGTCATAACCATACAGTTTGACAGGGTTCATACATTTTTTTTTTTTTTTTTTTTTGAACATGCATGTTCATGTTTTTTTTCATTTTTGTCATCTTTTCAGAAATTGAGCAAATGGAGTAACTAACTGCATTAACATGTCAAATTTGAGTTGAAAGATCTGCAGAGGGCTGTACAAATGTCTTAATTATTACTGCATACAATAATCATTAGATTGCTGTTGTGCTTTCAGGGAAGACTACCACGCAAAGAAAGCAGAGGAGCGAAAACAGTTCAAGGCAGAGACAAAAGCAAAAGCTAAACAGTGAGTATATAATCACAAGCAATACCATGTTGTCGTAATAACGTTATGTACAATTTTGTAAAAAAAAAAAAAAAAAAATTGACAAAAAAATTATTATTTAGGGACAAGGAACAACAGCAGAAACATGCAGAAGAGAAAGAAATGGTAAGATCCCCCACTAAGTGTTATTTTTATCTGCTCATGTTCCCCCACTGGGACGAGCTCATACACGCATGCTATGGTCACCTTAATAATAATTTGTAATTTGTTTTGTAGGGTCTGCTTCTGGATGAACAGACGGGTTGCTTGTTGAAGTTTTCAGGAGAGCTTGAAGATGTCTCAAGAGAAGACTTTCATGAATTGTTCTCTGGGCATGGAAAGATAAAGTGGGTTGACTTCACAAGAGGGGCCAAAGAGGTAAATAAAATCTCCACCCCTCAAGTCCCAAACCTCAGGGTGGAGAGATGTGATAGTTAAAAAATTGTATTTTTACTTCCAACAAGGGCACCCTGCTTTTTGATGGAAATGCAAAGGAGGCGTTCGACAAGGCCAAAGAGGCAAATGGAGGGGAGTTGAAAATCAAGAACAACAGTGTTACATGGCAGGTGCTTGAGGGAGACGAGGAGAAAGAGGTACTAAAGAAGATCATTGAAGCTCAGCAAGAGTCGTACAGCAGGTTCAGAGGCAGAGGTAAATACTTTATTTAAACCAAATAATTTGTACATCAGCAAACCATGATAATGATCAGTGATTTACAGTATTTATTAGCGAGTACTGATGCATCTTGTCTGCCTTTTAAAGGTGGCAGAGGAAGATCCGGTGGCAGAGGAAGAGGAGGACGAAGGGGAAGAGGCGGCAGAGATCAAGGCAGAACTCAGTACCAAGGCAAAAAGACGAAATTTGATAGTGATGATGAGGACAACGGTAAGTTCAGCATCTTCAGAGCTTCATAATTCAGTGGGATGGCAGGATATTTGGCGAACATTTCTGATCATTTCTTTTCTACTTTGTGCTTCTTCTCCAGCACCTGCAGCTCCAAAGAGAGAACTAGAAGATGCTGAAGGGCCTGCAGCAAAGGTCGCCAAAACCGAAAACGGATCATAGTCCTGAGGTCACACCCAGAATTTTTCTTGTGAAAACATTTATTATATACAGTGAAAATGCAGAGACACATTAAATCCATTCCAGTGAAAACTTCAGGCTTTGGAGAATCGTAGGAAGTCCACCTGGATGTCAACCTAGAGAACAAGTTGCAATGCTTGGCATCAGTTTTCAGCCTTTTAAGTCCCTGTATTATATTGTGCCTCCAACATAAATTCTGTACCTATGTTTCCCTTACGATGTTTTGATTTTATCATTCAACATAAAGACAGTAATTTAATTTCACTGGGACATTTTAGTTGCTTTTGTAAGACCTGTGTGACATCTAGAATCTGTGCGCCACTATGTGTGTGTGTGTTTTTTTTTCATTGTAGAATTCCTACATTGAGTGAGAATATCTGCTTTGCTAATTTTTTAAGTTTGCATATGTGAATAGCAAATAAAACATTTATAAAAATGAATCAAGATCTGTTTTAAATGTGTTCTGTTTAATACAGCTTCAGATGTCACTAGAAAACATGTATTGTCTGAGACTGCGGTGCGATACAGTGTATGAGCTTACCGATTTCTTTTTGTGGAACTTGTAAGACGCTGGCAAGTCGTATCTTAGTTCTGTAAAGAAAGCACGTAGTCAGACTTCATGTATTATAATTGTAGAGAATATGTTCTGTAGGTTTCTTACCCGCTATTACTTCCATCTTTACTCCCCAGTTATTAGCCTTCTTTTGTATGTGCTGTAACCAGACATGACAGGATTACACATCAAACATTTCACTCAATATTCATGCCAGAGAAGTACACCTGAGACCTGAGTGAAGTCATAAAGATGTGGACTTGATTTGACTTGGACATGACTTCGTTTTGACCTTGTCATTGAAAGGACATGGTCAACTGGTGATGGTACTGAACTTACCTCTCGTGTTGATGTTTTATGAAGTGAGTACACTACTGTCTTTGCCATTGTCAAGGCTGCCTTTAGGAACTGCATGTCCATTCCTTGAACAAAGAATAAAAGCAATGTGTTACTACATGTAACATGACCATCTTTTGGGGCTTTGAAGGGAGCCATTCCTCTCGTTCATGTCATGTGAGAGTTACCATGATACCAGTTTCCAAGTTGACGATATCAATAATCCAAGTCATACTTGTGACTGGGAGACTGATATATACCTGACTGTCTGCTAGATAATACCTGTCCCTGAAAAGAAAACAAACTTGGATTTTTCATGTCAGCCAGAGTCCACTGATCAATGTAAACAAATTTAATGTATATTTTGCCACATTTAAAAAAAAAAAACTCAAATGAAAATCTCTTCAAGTTGTGCCCATGTCTACCATCCATCCCATATGACCTGAACGCAGCATATAGTCAGAAAATAACAGCTCATGATGTGACCAGTTATCTCAAATTGGACTTCAAACTCCAGTTTTTAAAAAGAAAGCCTGTTACATACTGGTGGCTTGGAGTTTCCAAGACATGGATGTTTGTCAGGCAAGAATGGTTTATGACAGATGCTGCTGAGTTGCATAATGGGAATTCTAGTATGTTTCTGGAGCTTGACACAATATGGTCTATAAATCAGAATGTCTCGACTTTTTCTTTTACACGTCTTTTGAGAAGTCCCCCAAACATTATGGATTTAGACTGGAGCAGCCCCTTTAAAGTGAGTACTCGCCTTGGTTGTGTTTTGTCCCAAATGGTGGATTCATTATTACAGTGTCAAACTTTTTGGCATAAGAATCCGGCTCCAGGGAACACAGGTCACACTGGACCAGATCCACGTTAGAAATCTCAAATTCCTCTGCATTTCTTCTGAATATGTCCAGTGCGTCGTCGTCGATGTCGAAGCCAACGCATAAACTACAGAGGAGATAGCAGGTGGTGAGTGAGGGGTGAAACAATTTTAAACAGGTTTATGTTGATGGTCAGATGCTCTCACCCTGCATCAAGCATCGCAGCCCCAATGCTGAGGACGCCGCAGCCACATCCCAGATCTGCCACTAGTTTACCCTCAATGTCATCAAATGTATTGTGGATTGTGTAAAGCATGCATGCTACGGGGGGTAAAGGCAGAAAGTTAGTGAGAACCGTGAATGCTAACCACACACACTTTGAAATAATCGCATGTTATCTCCTCACACCTGCTATATGAGGACTGGTTGGATATTGCTCTAGAAGGATTTTCGGCTCTTCAAATGCGTCCACTTGCTGAAGACAACTCTCTAACTCTTTAAGTTTCATCACTAGCGTCTGTGTTGTACCAGACCTATATTTTGAGCATGGTCGAAGACGACTTCCGCAGTGGAGTGTGCATCAATTAAAACAATCCGACCTGCTACGAGTGATAGTGGTTCCTCCCTTCATAAAAAACACACACAAAAAAATATAATTTGATTGTTTTTGGTGGGGGAGGTGCGTTAATTTTTTATAACATAATTTAATTGATCATTTATTTTTCACATTACTGCTATGGCCCTCTCCACAGAATTGTGTTGCATGGGTGCTGTAAGGAAACATTTTATCTTATCAGTCCGATGAAAATGCTGGTGGGATGGTCCCATAGACTGAATATAAAAAGGATGTTCCCAAACAAGGCTGTCAGTTGCCTAGAAACAAGAAAACAAAACAGCGCCGAGGCGATGACTGTGCATGAACCGAGCTGGTTAAACAAGCAAACCACCACAGACTCTGCTGCATCAAATACCTGGCTCAGTGGGATCAAATACTTGAATTAGATTTATTTGTATTCATTGTACACTGAGCTCAAATCAATATTGGAAATCCGCCAGCCAACAACGACGTAAAGAGCCGTATCGCGAGAAAGCCCGAGAACATGGAAACAAGACAACAAAAATAAATTTGTGGACAACAAGCCAGAGTGCATGATGGCGGCGTCGCTGCTGCGCCGGGACAAGAAAACCACTGCCACCCACTTGAAGGCAGACTTAAACCGGACTGACAATAGCACCGGGCTCCGACAACTTCAGGAGCTGCTCGACGCTGTGCTAAATCCCGAAAAACCAGCGGCGGACACAGAGGCTCTTGACTGGTGTAAATGTCTAATTGCAGGAGGCGAAGGTTTCGAGGAGTTCTGCAAAACGGTCCGGTCCTATGACAATGCGACTCTGTGCGGCTTGGTTTGGACCGCTAATTTCGTGGCATATCGATGCCGGACCTGTGGCATCTCCCCGTGCATGTCACTGTGTGCTGAGTGTTTCAATAACGGAGACCACACGGGCCATGATTTCAACATGTTCAGGAGCCAGGCTGGCGGGGCCTGTGACTGTGGAGACAGTAATGTCATGCGAGAGAGTGGGTAAGTCCGAGCTAGCTGCGAGCTAAGCTGCTATGCTATTAGCCAGTATCATTTTGACAGGTCTCGGTGGGGAAATTATCTTACTTGGCAAATCAAATTTTTTCATCTACGTAGTCGGTATCAGCTTCCAGATTATTCTGTCTCAGATATGCTTGCATATTACTGCCAGTCTGCAACAGTTTTGAACATTACGATGCTCCTGTCATTTGTTAATAGGAAACCCTCGATCTAGCAGCTGTGCTTAGAGAGTTAGCCAGCCTTACTACACATAACAGTAATTATAATGCTCGCTGCCATAACTGGAGATTACACTAGATCGTTATTTTACCGATGTCAGATTGGTTAGGTTTGCATCAGGAGTTCGTTTATCGAAACATCGTGACATGGAGATTATTGTGTAGTTTCTAATGTTAACGACAGCTTTACAACTGTTCACAGCTTCAGTTGGCTGAAATTACTCTAATTGCTGTTGGTGGTTGAAATGAACAATCAATACCTCTGCTTGCCCATTATATCTCCATTCTTGTGTTTTCCTCTTCAAATGCCACATGAAAAAGTTGCACATACACTACAGTCACAGAATTATATTTTATTTTTGAATACCAAAATGGTGTGATATCAGAATTTGTCAGTATCAGAGAATGTCATTAACCCACTTGGTACTTTTATTTGGACTGACTTTGTAGCTGACTGATTTGTCTGTGTCAAAATACAGTCTTGAGCAATATGAGCAAGAGATGTAGTAGTTTGTGTGTTGCAATAAATTACACAGTGCATATGTGCGGACATTAAAAATACCTCGCTATTCTTACCCTGGAATACTCAACCCAACCCAACCCAATATTTAACTCTACACCTTTTTATATAATCACAAATGTTACATCTATAAAAATTAGCCAAACATTAAAATTGTCCAAGTGTAAAAAAGTTACACTTGGACCCAGCCTCCTGGTTAGTCAGGACAGTCGCACAGCCTCTACCCTAACTGTACGTAGTTTTTATTTTTTAAATTGCTACTTCCTCATCTGTGTTCAAAACATTTCTACTTGTTAATGTGTCTCTGTCCTCGCTTGTTTGTTGTTGCAGTGATTTTAACTTGTCAGGCCTGTGCTGTTTGTTTTCATTGTTATTTTTAATATTGTTTTTAATAGTGCATTTTTCATCAATGTAAAGCATTTTGTGATTTTATATCTATGAAAGGTGCTGTACAAATAAACTTTACTTACTTACTCACTGAAGAATTCAAATTAAAATGAATGAAAGAGAAATAACTACTCTGATATCCATGAGAGTTTTGCAACGTCAACATTTGTTTATTTTTCTTACAGATTTTGCCAACGACATCGATTGAGAACAGGGGAAAATGTCCCCTCAATACCTCGAGACCTTCTCTTGATGTCTGAGATGGTTCTTCCTCGCTTTATCCTTTGTATCATTCAGTATCTGAGGGATGGATATATTGAACCAGGTGAAAACACGCACAACAGTGGTCTCTTCATCAGGACATGGGATAATATACTCACTCACCAATTTAAACAAAAGCTGTAACAATGAAAAATTACTTTAATTGTGTCTCTGTCTTTCCAAAAACTAGTATGAAACCATATTATCTCGATCACTTCGATTTGGATGTTTTACATATGGTGTGGCTCTCCCGTTGCATATCAAATGCAAACAGGGCCAGCTGTGCAGGCCGGATACTGGTGTTATACAACTGTTTACATCCACAATTACGTTCACAAAGTACAGAGTCTCATGGCTTATATCTGTTATCTTGCTTTACCAGACAGCTCAACTGAGAGAGATCTACAGAAAGTCCTGCAGCAGCTGGAGCCTCAAATCTCTTTCCTGGAGGAGCTCACGAAGATGGGAGGAGCAATGAGGACTGTACTGACAAAGATCTTGACCAATCAGCAAACATTCAAGGAGTTGAGCATGGGTAAACATCTACACTGTTGTATGTGTTCACACAAAATAGATAATAATTATCAAGAATTACCATACCACAAAAGTTTAGTAGTTCCTCTCTTGGTGGCCTTGGACTTTATGTTGCTGTATTATTCTTTCTTTATTGTCGTCTGCTGCTGTTGCTACTACTACTCACAAAAGAAAGGCAGATTCTGCTTGACCTGTTAAATCCCTTACAAAAAATATCAAATATTGAAATAAAAAAAAACAAAACAAGTATACTAAAATTTTGTATCACTGTTAACAAAAAGAAATAGGAAGAGGGAAACCTTTTGGTGGGCATCTTCATCTAAGCCATGTTCCAAGTCTCCTTTACCTTAAATTCTGTACATTTGCTTTTATTAAAGGTTTCTTCATCTTGAGATCTCAACAATACAGTAATTGTTATTGTTGCTGCAATTTGCAATGTTCTGCTTTACTGTTGCAGGCCAAGAGGAGAATTTGTACGCTAAAAAGAACTATGACAAGTATTTGTCAGCATTAAAGAATTCAGGTCTGGTGTCTGTGGAGGAGAAAGCCCAAGGTGCTACTGCTGATGTCACAGTTGGTGCTGAAGGAGGTGCAGGAGCAATGGTCCTGTTGGGTAAGATAACCATAACACTTAGTAACCATCTGTCAACCACTGAAAATGTCTTTGAAAGCAGTTTTGAAAGCCTTTATAATCTGCATGCATTTCTCAGGGGTCAAAGCTCTGCAGGTGCCAAAAGTTATTGTCAGGTTTTTCCTTTTGCAAAAAGGAAACAGGGACTGAAACGTAATTCCCTTATGATTAATAAATCAAAAAGCAATCAGACATTTGGCACTGAACTACATATCTTTGTCCTTCAAAACACCACTGTCCTATAAACTTGCAATAAACCCTTTCTCTGCCCCTTTTTACACACAGTGTATTTCAGATGATGATCATACATGATATCATTTGGTAAAGCTAAACTAATAAAATGTATCACTAAAACAGCACAGACCTTGCTGTTGGAAAGATTAAACTTTAGAAACGTTAGAGTTAGAACATGCCACGTCTTGTTTTAACCAACACTGAATACTGCTGCTGGAATAAATTATGAGTTTTGCAAACTGCAGACTCAGGCATGTGCTTGTGTTTGTCCAGTGGCCTAAGATGCTTCTAATGGTTGTTTGTGGATAAATGTTTGTTGTTTTTTTTTTTTTTTTTTTTTTTTTTTTTTTAGGAACCACTGCACCAGGGAGCCCAGATGAGTCAAGTAAAGAGGTTTGTGTCAGCACCAAACACAAAAAACCTTCGTTCAATTTAACATTACATTTTGGCTCCAAAAGATTATTCTGTTTTTTTTTTTGTTAATGTTTGAATATTGATGTATGCCCATCACAAGTGATGGATATTTAGTTTATTTTAATTTGATATGAATGGATTGATTTTATAGTTTAGTTAGTTTTTAGTTTTAGTTTTTTAGTTTTCAGACCTCTTAGTTGAAATTTGTGTTGTTTTCTTTTTTTCCTCCCAGGAAGACCAAGATGCTGGGCAATCTGTTGGTCAGAGGAAGAGGGTAAAGCTGAGTAGCAGTACCAAAGGTAAATGTAAAGAATGTAAATGTAATGTATCAATATATGTTACATGAGCTACTATTTTTATTTTATTATGTGTCTTCTGCCCTCAGACCCAAGTATTATTGAATCTCTAAAGCATAAATGCTTTCTGGAGGAGTTGCTGTTTTGGACAATAAAATATGAGTTTCCTCAGAAGATGGTCACCTTCTTACTAAACATGTTGCCAGATCAAGATTACAAGGTATGTCTTTTCTAGGTTACATACTTGTGAATAAATACTATCTAGTGGTGCTCTAGCATCCCTTTTCGGTGCATGAATGATCTTTTAATGTAATATAATTTCTTAACATTGTCATGACACCAACTCAGTTAACTGAAATGATGCTTGACGTATGTATTATGTTTTGAGAGTGAATTGAATGCTTCTCCTTAAAAGGGACAACATTGTAACTATAAGCTTTAACTGTGTTGGGGGTAATTCTCTTA